CCTGCTGAATAGCACAGATGTTTTTGATGGCAGTTCTTTTTGTGGAAATACTCACCATGATTTCTCCTTCATGAACTTCAGCAACTCTCATGTAAACTGCCAAGGCAAGATCAGCGGGTAACTCTCCGTATGGTGTCAAAATAGTACCTGTCTTGTGGAAGAGCCCAGACAATTTCCTCTGGCCAGTTTTTGTGTCACAGCCGTCACAACTACAACTCCACACAAAGACAAGTAAAAGACTCTTTTTTCCCCCTCCTCTAAACAAGCATTTGCTGTAAAGTGTTGTCAAGTAATGTAATTTTTTGTTATGACATCTAGGCAATAACAAAATTATAAATTTTACATTTGGTCATTCTGTGTGTCAAAACCAGTATCATCTCATTACCTTGGCCGCTGCGAAGTGAACGGGAGTTCTTCTTTGGGAGTTTTCCGTAAGTTTTCCTTCCAAGTTTTCTTTGGGTTGATATATATCTTTTTCTATCCTCAACATTTCTTTACAAACACCCTCTCTTTTTTCCTGCTTGGTTCCCTGTGGGTTTTAAGATCCACCTTTCTGCATTCTAAACAAAACGCTCCCTGAGTAAAATCTTTCACTCCCATGCTTCAAATGCTGCCATTTTCCTGCACCCAGCTTTTACCTGTCCCTGCATCCCATGATCACCTAAGTGCTTCATAAATGCTCAATATGTCTAAAAGGGAGCTAATCAGCTACTTTTCCAAATCTGTGCTTTTTGTAACATTTTCATTATCAGTACTGCATCTTCTTCCTTCTCCTCTCTTCTTATACAATCTATAGTCACACAGGCAACACACACATCTTGTTTTAAGGTCTGCATAACTTTGAACATAACTCTCCAGGGAAATGTACCAAATACACACATTGGGGATGTAACTTTTCTATGTTAAAGCCAAACTCTGTATGCCACAGGGAGGTTGGTTCTGGTCAGGATTTTTTTGTTTGTTTGTTTTAATACCGGCATGTTTCCTTACATCTTTAGTGAAATAATACTTTTTTACACCAGAATAGTTTTGGAAGCATCCAAATTCCCTTGCTTTCCATTTTTCAAATATCATTTTTACTATAAGCCTGAATGCAATTTTTCTTCAATTTCCCACTGTGTTGAAGTTTAAAAAAAAAAGCCAGCAAGATCTACAATTTATTCCTCAAAAAATATGACTAGGAATCAGCAATTGCCTCTTATCCTCCCTTCTCTCTCTTCCCCTCAACCCCAAATCCCCACAACCAGTCTTTTCTTTCAAAACTTTTGTTCAGTTCTCCTCATTATTCAGAGAAGAAACCGTCTTCTTATTCAGAAGTACTTCAGAAAATAGAACTTCCTGATTTAGAGCAAGCATTTCCATTTTCAGCTACTATTAACCTGTTTGAGTAGCGCATAAAGGGGCCCTTAACTCATTCTACCTGAAACGGCCTCCTGTCTGTTGTTTCTCCAGCTTTTGATTTATCCTTTTAGCTCCTGCAGCAGTGGGATGTCTATTCGTATTTTTACCACTCTGGCTCATATTACATTTAAGGTTCTGAGCTTTAGGGTTTGTTACATCCTGCACTGGAAAGTCTTCAAACCTCTTCCTGCCTATAGCTCCTGCAAAAACAAGAAATCCAGTCTTCTTGGTGAATGGTAGACAAGTAAGCTCCTCACCAAATTCACAGACTCAGGGAATGATCACTCTATGCAGATACTTACGCTAGTGGCAAACACTGCTCAGATCCACAAAACCGTACAAGTACAGGATTTCTGCATAGCCACCACCTTTTGCAGGACAGGGAAGCCTGTTTAATGCTTTTTAAATGGCATCACAATCCCCATTTAGTATTGTAGCTCCAACCAGTTGCCTGATTCCTCAGTCAAGGTAGAAGGTAAGGCTAAAAGCAAATGGCTTTCTCCTCACCGTAAAAAAGATGTCTAGAGCATGTAAAAAGGCTCTGGAATTACTCTTCAACCCTAATAACAACATTAGGGCAAAGTTCAGCTTTACAAAGCACCTGTGGCTACTGAGTTTGACCTGGCCTATGTTATACAGGACTTTAGAACAGAATTGCACAACCATCCCTTCCACAATTACTTTGTATCTATGAAATTACAGTAACAAGATACAGGTAACAAAAGGCAATAAAGTTCTGAGTTACTAATTTGATGGTCATTCCGAAGTTTACAGATAAAGCCTGAAAACGAGTGCAGCTTACCAGTTTTCCTGGTGAGGCAAGTGCTAATCTTGGGAAGACCTGTGAGCTGTCGACGGATCCATTTGTGATAGGATGGGCAAGCAGTGAGATCAACTGGGCGCAATATTTCACAGGTTCCCTAATAATACAAACAGGCATTATAACATTAACATGCTGATGCCCTTGGCAGCTTTAAGCAAATCAGTCTTTTTCTTACTCCGTAAGCAGACAAAGATGACAAGTATTTGCTGATCTGGCAAAAAGCAGCTCTGCTTCAGGTATTATCATGAATGCTATGATTCAACAATGACAGCATTAAACAATTACTCCCCTCTGATTTTTCAAAATGCCAATAGTTACTCATAATACTCTTTAGAGGCAGCAAGTGAGGTATACATAAGCGGTTGTCTGATAGTGGAAAGAGCAGCATGAAGGAAAGTTGCAACAACCTCAAAAAGTTGCTTCTGGATTCTTTGAGTGGCAGAATTGGAGCCAGTTTCCAAGACTGTTGCCTTCTCAGCAGCACTAGATAAGCCCTTCCCTGTAACATTAGCTTTCCCTGGACAGTCTATTGTACTAGTCTTTCTGTAAGTTTTCTAAGTAACAGTAAATAAATCTTTTCTAATTAAATTAGTAAACAGTGCTACAACATCTCACATCCCAGAGAGGCAGCACGACCACTGGAATGAGTAGACAAAAATCCCCTGAAAAAAGTAAGTTATGGCAACTAGAAATCTGAAAAAAAGCCCAAATGACAATATTGACAGCTTATGATACGATTAGCACTAACTGATCATGGGTCCCAGAAAGCCCTCCCAATAAAATTAACCTGTTATTTTTGTCACCAGACAGCACTACAGAGAACACACACATTTATTCCTCTTCAAATATCTCAAGACAGTTACCTTCATGGAAAAAAATGAAAATATGCCAGCTATTGCCTCTGATTCTGGGTTTAAGCAGTATAATTGTGGGCAAAGCTTTTATTGCTAACTCTTTTCTTAGTATCATTCAGCTGGTATTATCATTCAGCTGGTATGTCAGCTGGCAAGCCACTAAACAACAAACGCAAAGTCTCTGAGGCATCTCAGAAAAAAGCAGGAAGTATCACTGCCTCACAGTGCTTGCATATAATGCATTTGTGTATGATGTCATTAAAACATCTCTGGAAACCTTATTGATCTTTATAATATTATGCCTGAAAGGTATCGTGTGTTTTTGTGAGTCCAGAGGTGTCCTGAGCCTCTTCAAAATTAAAGATATTTGTTTTCCCTGCCTAAAACCATTTCTGATGCAGCTAAGGCCCTATAGCTCATTTGAAAATAGTTATTTCACTGCTCCCATCAAAAAAAAAAAAAAAAAAAGAGGAATTCATCTATTCCAAAAGCAAAGAAGAGATAAAAGAGTAAATATGGAACATGTGAAGTTTCTCTCAAGTGTCTTTTGATAACTGCCATTTAATATTTAAACAGTTATACTACTTATGTTAGAGAATATGAGGAAAAAATATATTTCTTGCCATGAAGAACTTGTGTATTAGGCTCTGACATATTAACCAGTAACACGCACTGCAGAAGAGACCCGATCTTTGGTAAAATAGATCCTACACAGGGTTTGCAAAGGAGTCGGACACTAAGTAAAAGCATGACAAAACCAACAGAAACCAAACCCACCAAGGTCTGTTATTTTACAAAGTACATTATTTCCTAGTTCTTTCAGTAATGGCCTGTAATTACCGGGTTTTTTTTTCTTTTTTGTGGGCTCTAAAGAAATGCCAGCATACCATCAAGAATATTAGCCTTTGGTAAATCTGTGAAGGATCTTACCTTACTAATGAGAATTACACTATCTGACTTCGTGATATCTTTTTTTATCACCTGTCCATAGTAAAACTTTTCCACTTTGCAGCTATTAGTTATGCTGACTATTGATCTTTTAGACCACTCTGCAAAGAAGTTCACACCTCTGAAAGACAAGCAATACAGATGCTTTTTTCATAGCCTGCCTAACAATGAGCTCACTGAAAAACATATTTAACTATAAAAAACACTGATCTTTTTGCAGTTGTAACTGATAAACCCTAGGCCATGGCTCCTGGAAATGAAAAATCCAGTTCTAGGTTAGTCGGTGTCTTTTTTTAAGTTGGCGCAGTTTCATGATGCAAAGCAAAGCATAGCATTCAGTGAAAATTCACCTTGCCTAACCAAAGTTGTCTATAAATTTATAGAGTGCATTAGTTTAAAAAAAAAAAAAAAAAAAAAAAAGGTGGGGGACAGGATTAGTAGCTAGGGAACATGGATAATCATGCATGCTTCCAGAGCAGCTCGTGGCAAAGTACCATGGCTGTCTGTGACAACTGTACAATGGGGAATTCCTTTCCTTGTCACAGAACCTCATGAGACAAGACAATTGTTATATGCATTTTATCCATGGCCTTCACAAAGCTGGGGAAGTTTATGGAATAGATTATACCGTAGTTAAACGGTCAAACAATAAGCAAAAGTGGGTGATAACATTGGAAAAAATTACTTGACGAAGTTATATCGATAGCACAATTCTTCCCGAAGCTCTTCATCTAATTTATTAGCAAAGAAGTCGTCCTTATCCACCACAAATAGCTTTGTGTCCTCCATACAGACAACTGTAGCAAGCCGCCTTGTTCCTTTTAATAAGGAAGCTTCCTTTCATGGTGAGAAGTGGAGAGAAGGGAATGAGAGAGAGATTAACACAGTTAATGCTAGGAATTTATCCATCAGTTTTGTACTCCAAATACTGCCCCCATTAGAAACCATTAATGGTCCACCTCACCTACTGTCCTGTCTACTTACCCACGATGGCCAGTACTAGCTAGCCTTTTTTTTTTTTTTTTTAAATAAGGAATCACATACAACACAACTTATCTTCCAAGGAAGTTCCCTTCTTATTGCAATAGAAGGGTAAGCTCTGAAAAGCATAGGAACATAGATCTCATTCCCAAACGCTGCTTATTCCATTTATTTTCCCATGCGTGAACTAACAGTATTTTTACCATAGATGCCACTCACCCCAAACTTTGCCCCCTTCTGAAGCACTGCAGGATACAGCGCTGTCAAGGCACTGCTACCATCCTCATCATCTGTAAGAGCAACACTGCCATAGTAAATGAAGTAGAAACTCTTGCTGCAGTGTCCTTTCTTGAGGATGACTCTCCCACGTTCAAACCTGGAAAACAGGTATATGACTGGTATTATCCAGCACAAATGTAATGAGTTAGACCTGTTCCTGAGTTGGCTCTGCAGCTGAGATTTACTATTGTACCAAGGTGAATGAACAGAACTTGAAAGGCCCAACCAGAACACGTCCAGAAACGTAAGTCCTGATTCAAACATAAAAGTGCACTCCTTTCTACCCACAGAATGGCTTTTAAAAAGTGAAAATTGATCCATTTTCTGCCACACTTAAAATATTCAAGAAAATAATTGTTTGCAGTGATCAAAGTGAGATCACAAAGTATTTACCCCTGTGACTTCAGTTTAGATCTAAATTTTTAGTCAAATACATGTGAGACTACCCAGGAAGCCCTGTAAACCAGCTAAGGATTGCCCAAATTCACTCTATAGTAGTAGATGCCAGCATGAAATACTTTCATTAGTCCAGTCCATCTAAAGCAGTTTCGTTTTCCCTTCACTCATTATGAAGCAGTATCTCCTCTTGTATCACTGCATTCCGCTGTTTCCAAGGCTTGGGAACGTTATGAGACTGACACCTCTGATGATTGAGAAGCCCTCTCCAGGGCTTGCCCCTCAAGTTGTGCCCAAAGAGTTGTTTGTGGGGTTCACAAGGGACCAAAACCACAGACTGACCCGTTTTCAAAAGAAAAAAAAAGGGGGAGGACAGTTATTTGGACTCATAATCTGCTGGTACATGTAGTGCAAGATCCAGCTCTCAGCACAACTCTGCAGTTGTGCTGGCCTGACAGGAAGACACAGGTGCACGAGCAGAACCTGTGGCAGGCGTTTCCTGCAAGGACTTCTAGAGTGATGGGAGAAGCGGAGCTCACCACTGCCTCTCCCTCCTCCTCAAGCAAAACCTAATGGCATCTTGCATTTCAGCTATGCAAGGAATCAACCTCCAGCACAATAAAGCTGGGAGAAAATTCATCCCCAACATGGTGAACTGAGGAGGATACAGAAAAGATCTTTAAATAAAGAAGAACATTTATTTCTGTGTTTTTCTGGGGGAGAGAAAAGGATGGTGGGAGAAAGGTAGAAAATTTGTAGACGGGAATGTGTTAAAATCATACTCCCAAAAAGTACTCGAGTGCGAGTATTGCAGTAAGAGAGGGAAAAAAATATGAGGAGGCCAGGGAGAGGCTATGCTATGGCTTGCCTTGTGTTCAAAGTTAGACATGAACTAGAACCTGACATGAAAAACCCATATGCCCAAATTACTGTGAAGATGTAGGATTAAAACTAGTAAAGCCCTCACACTGTGGATCATCTGTTCTCAGTAGTCTTTCAAAGATGGGTTTGGGTAAGAAGAAGGTCAAGAAGATTCCCATCTTCTCCATCTCCTTCCCTCTGAGATTTCTGCCGCAAGAAACAACAGAAATTGCTGCCAAATGTAATGATGTAAGGAAAGATCATTCAACAGAGGTCAAACACCTCCTATAACACTGGATTCACAGCCTATTCCTCTTACCAAAACTACTGTTTTCATACGCACTAGTAAAAGCTGTTAAAGTCACTTGCCAATAAGAAGTTCCCACAAAACACCACCAGATTTAAGGCTTATAATTACAAAGAAGAGCCGTCCCAGCTCGAATTCATCTCACAGGGAACTGATAGTTGGTCCCAAAAGAGACATCTCTGGTTGCGTCCCAACACAAAGTAAGGGACACGTAACACTGTCAGCTCCGTACTCTGACAAAGGACCACCTCTTGGAGTAAGAGCTTGAGATTTGACAAAAGCTCCTACCACTGTCTCAGTTTGAAGTACTTTGTACCTCAAAAGTGAAAAGGGTCAAGTTATGATTTTCTAGGAAAGGGAGGACTACAGACAGCAGGACTTAAATGGGAGAGGAATGTTTAATGCAATTTCTTTATTATAATTTTAAATTTCTAGTGAGAATTAGTATTAGTTAAGAAACTAAGAAACTAACTCAATTATGCAGCTTTGAAAAAATCACAGCCATTACAATCCCTCCAGCATGTAGAAGGTAGACCATAAGCTGTACAAAGAACCTCAGATATGATAACAGCACAGCTGTTAACACTTTTGTTAACAGCAGAACATGAAGTTGTTATACCAGTTTGCATTCAGAAGACACCTAGTGGACTGAAGACATAACTTACATGGTTACCTTTCCAGCTTTTGGCCAGATTCCCTTAGCTGTGAGTTCAGAGAATAAATAGCACTAAAATCAGCTATAAAAAAAATTTTGCATAATGCAAAAACACATTTACCATTCAAAGCGAATCACTTTAGCCAGAAGAAATTGCAGTCTCAAGCCGTAACACTGATAGCTTTCTATCTCGTTCAAGCAGCTTTGTAAGAACTTCACTTCCTCTTTTGTTCTCCATGCCGGTCTCTTCCTAGTTATCTCGATTACTCTCAGAGGTAAATGATCCTGAGAAAAAAATTCAACATCTAATGAACTAAGAGCTAAAAGTAGAAGCCATAAAGGAAACACCTTAACACTTCAGAAAGCTGAACAGTGTCATCTTTAAGAAACATACATAATTAATTCTCAATTCTCTCTCTCTCTCATTTCATTTTAAGAGGAATATCTGCGAGAAATTGCTAAATTTATATCCAACACAACAGTGCCCAGACAAAGCATGACTGAGTTTTTAACATGGTCCTTAAGGAATTAAACATTAGACATTTAGAGCTAGGCTAAAATACAATTTTTAGGCCAAGCTGGTGGCTAATTAGCTGAACTGCTATTAAACTTTAAGTTTCAAAGAAAAGGGAAATTGATTTCCCTTCCCCCCCCCCACCCACTGCTGACCAGTATCAAAAGTTTTTCCTAAGAGATATTTAAAAAGCACTGTTTGAGGAAGTGCCCTCATGTGATGGGAGAAGTGGTCGGGATTCAGGTATGGTGCCTGCCCTTGTGTGAGTTTGGCTCAGTAATTGCTGCTCCTTTTTTTGTGGGACACCTTGAACACATCACTGATTTGCAGACCACCTGCAGAAGAACAAAAGGTGCTAGACCTTTGAAGCTCTGAACTGGCTGGTATCGAAGTGCAGTTTGGAATGTTTCTTGTTCTGGATAAAAAGAACAAAACAAAATATATTGGGAAAGGCTTTGGTTGTTTAAGGCTATCACAGAGTTAGCAAGTATACACTAACATTTCCTCACAAGACAAATTTCTGTGGAGCTAGTACATTGCCTATTTTAACTTAAAGCTTACTCCGTAAAAAGCTTCTATCAGAGAACTTCAGACAAAAGCTTACCACTGTTTCATTACAAAACAAGGTTTGTATTTACTTTAAGAAAGTATACACCGACAATACAAGATCAGGAAGTACCACTGGCCCTGTTTCAACATGCCATGCAAAGATGGCAGTGCCTGGATACATACTTATATGAATATTTACCAAAATATCAATGAACATTGAGACCGGTCCAGGTACTAGGCATCCTGTCAAGCAGAACGGAGAAACACACTAATTCTAATACTTGAAGAGATTTACTTTTATTTCCTGCAGAAAAATCCTTTCCTTCTCGCCAAAGAATGGGAGCTTTAAGTAAGTCATGTTGTCATCCTCTAATCTCTTCTGTTCCTGCAGGTCTTCCCATAGGATCTTACACATTTTCTTCAGGATCTTGATGTCCCTTGCAAGCTGGTAGAACTTCTTGAGAGGACAAACAGAAAGAACAACTATGTCAGAACACGAAGACGGATCAACCCCCTTTCTCAAGGGGTGCAGTCGAGACTAGCACAGAAGACATTCATTTGGGTATGAGGACGTTTGGATTGGACTCCTCCCTCTCCCACTGATCTCCTCCTGATGAAGAGTTTCTGTCTCTCCTATTGCCATTTGATTGTCATACGTTATTATGTTTTAAACAGTTTCTAAAGACAATGACTATTCTATAAACAGCAGAAGCAGTCTCTGAGCTTTGCTGGAGCCACCAAAATTCACCAGCATTTAACCTAAGGAGAGAGCTGAAAATTTAGTAGTATTTTGGTAGCAGCCTATGCTGTACTGATACTGTCATGCTGTACAGTATCACAGCATGGCAGATGCAAGAGCATGTAAGCTTTTGCTCTCTAGTCCGTTCATACTGAGGACTCAGAAGTCAACAGTTATATTACAAAGAGATTTTCATCCTCCTCTGAGTCTTATCAATCTTCATTAGAAAAAGGATCTGGAAGAGAAAGAAATTTAATTTGCTTAGACCAACATGCTCTTGTCTGAACAGGCAGCCCAGGGCATGCCAAATGACGAAACAAGCTGCATTGCAGAGTGCTGAAAACGGTTGCTGTAAGAACATGAATTCCAATTATCCACATTAAAAAAAAGACCTAATTATACATGACCTAAAAAATATGTACCATCTAACCACAGTAATTAAAACTGTATTAGAGAACTACATGCAAGTAACTATATGCATGTCTTCATTTTCTTTTTCTTTTAAGTGCATACAATTCGATACACACATATATCACTTAAAACTATCAGGCAATCAAAGATAACTTTTCCCACAAGAAGGTTATCATATACATACCTACTGCAGAGTTTCTTCTACCTAGCGCAGGCTAATGGACTCTTTACGAGGATTACTCCCACAGCATCCCAACTGTCTGGCCAGGGAAGACCCCTTATGACGAGGGCACTCGGCTTTTTTCCTCAGAAAGCTGTCAATGCCTTTTAAACTCTTTTTATACTAACACACCTGAGGATGGGGCCCTAGATGACAAACACCCACTAATATCTTCCATGATATGGTAGTAGTATTTATGATCATTCTTCTGATAACTCCCCAGAAAACACATTAAATCACTTAAGAAAATAAACATCATTTGTCACATAGATTAGAAATGGAATGAGATACTAAGATGTAAC